GGCATTCTATGTAAATTCGTACAGCATTCGAGGTACGTTCCAACTGAAATTCGAGTGCTGTTCACGCAGCAATCGAACCGGCCTCGGACGACAGTCGAAATTCATTTTAAGTATTATTTGTGCATTCTAACGGCATTCTAATTATTCCTACTGTATTCCGATTCATTCGAGCTGCATTCGTGATTGAATACATTTGGGATGAATAAGAATCATTCGAGGCGGGTTCGAAGTGCGTTCTAAGTATTCCAACAGCATTCTTACAAAGCTTGAAAAAAATGTTTACTTTGAGAATACGGTACGAATGTCACTGTCAGTTGAAAAGTATATCGGCCAGGCATTGAACTTGGGCGCCGTGTGAGACGTCAGTTGAATCCTCCCAAAACTGTAGCTGAGTTGACACAAGCTTTGCAGATTCACTGGAGAGCCGTTCCACAAGCTTTGATTCGGAGATTGTGCTTGACAATGCCTGGCCGACTCCGGGCTTTGTCATCACTACAAAGAGAGTGTCCAGACTACCATCAATCCGTTTCATTGTTTTAATGTGTTTGTACTATGTCTCCAACATTGCATATGGCATTGATGATTCTCCCGATGCAATGTGCACAGCTTTATTGTTTCAAAATAAAACTTAAGAATGTGCATTATTCATTCGGTTTAATGTTGATAATTGGAAATGCTATATGTTGTGATTTGCCCGATACCCCTTTTACCAGTACAAACTTTCTTTGTGGGATTCGGTTCTTGGTTACGAAATTACATTTACCCCATGACACGCTCTGTGGGCTGGAAACCATTAATCTTTGTAGTTAAAAATCGAAATTCGAGAAAACAAAACATGAGTGTTTTAAAGCAAAGGTATTGCATGTCTCGCCTATTGACAAAACTTTGTTCACGTGGCAAAGTAGAGACCAGAATGATTATTACCATGCAACCTGCAAATGTTCATTCAAACAACGTCACGCGTCTGGAAAATGGCCTTGGCTTGAAAAGTGTTTACATCACTGTATAGATGCTTTGTAAAGATTAATATATTTGAAATTATATGTAAAGGTGCCACTGGAGGGACAGACCTTCTGGAGGGCAAGACCTTTTATATGGGTGGGAATGGTTTAACGAGCTGGGAACAGTATTTCTGTTTTCTATATGTGAAAAGGAAGCCCGAAAGTGATGCCTGTTGTCAACTGAAGCATGACACTGTGGATCCAGCTGAGGTATGGGGTACTGCAGGATAACTAGACATCTGTCGCAAATGTCTGACCCTTAGGGTATAAATAGAGAATGTTTTGTGTCAGTTGGACAGTGGCTAGGCAGGTTGGCTGACGATCGCCTATTCATTGCTGTAATTCACTGTAGCTATACAGTAACACTCATTCCTCCGGTTTGGTTTTGCAACGTTTTCGCACCCCTATCTCTAACCCTGTGTTGGCCTGTCAGGGTTTATAGCAAATGTAACTTTGGCGTCTGACTTTGTGTGCTGGCGATTAGGTGCCTGACTCTGAGGGTGTGGGTTCGAATCCCGGTTGGGACTCAACCCCCCAAAAGCTACTAGAATCTGTACTTTACTGAGAAAGTGTAATCCCAAATATAACATATGTTACATTTGACCACTTTCTAAAATGGCATTGTGTATTTCATTGTGTACATTGCCTGATTAATTAACTCAATTATTGTACAGATTAACTGATTATTGAACAGGGATTATTGGGAAGACAAGATTAGCATGGGTTTCGTTCTGTGATCACTGAGGCTTCTTTAAATAAAGTAATGTTTATAGTTTAGATTAATCCAATTTCCCTTAAAGCAAAGTCTTCCCTAGAAATGATTCTTCCTTAGAGCACAGGCTTCCTTAGAAATGCTATAAAATGCAAGCATTTTCTTACTAGACTTGACATTCATTCTTGTTATCATCATGGAGTCTGCATTTCGTGAACATCTGAGGAGACGATAGTCCGTTTCAAAGTCAATGTTTGTTACTGTTCTAAAAGTGGGAAGCAGTGTGCCACACGTGTGTTACAAGTTGGGTTTATTGTGTAACAGCAGATGTTACTATTTCATGTATGTAATTTACATCAATATTGATTTGTATTTTTGTGTTACGTAGCTGATACAATTTCTTTTACATCAGAACATCATGTGTTTTAATGCTGTTTGAAATAAAGTTATTTGTGCTTCAATTAATGAATTTGTTAGATATTCGCCACTTATTCATTCAAACAGAACGAAACCCATGCTAATCTTGTCTTCTCAGTAATCCCTGTTCAACAATCGGTCAATCTGTACAATAATTGGGTTAATAAATCAGGAAATGTACACAATGCCTTGAAATTTTAGACAATGTACATAATGACTGAGTGAATCAGGCAATGTACACATTGACTGGTTATTTCAGTCATTGTACACATTACCTGTAACATTGCCTGTAACATATATATATATATATATTTGATTCTCTACATGTCAATACATTCTCCCAGTAACCTGCACTACTAAGCCGTGCATAGGACGCGGTGTATCGGGTAGATCACTTGCCCGGTCGGTAGATCGATCGAGTTGTGTACCTTTTAGTACCTCCGAATAACATTTCATAGAAACGACAGAATGATCACCGCTATCAAACATGCTGCAGATATGGCTAATAAAGCCTCAATGTCTTCATGAAAACGAGAGAGAAATTTACATTTACCTTTGGATTGTCTTATCTCTTCATTCGATAGGTTGTTCTTCCGGTCCTACTTTACACCGTTAAAACACTGTCCTTGTACATGTTATCCTCCCTGGTAGTCCTCATTTAGGACATAAAACCACTACTTGTCAACTCGAGGTGTGCGTAGGGCGGTACGGTATCGGCTGACACTATCTACCGATATAGGTATAGGTGTATGTAAGTGGATATCGATTCTTGAACGCAACTTCAATGTCGATTTAACCACACTGACAAAATGACTGTTGTAAAGATTAACGTGACGATATTTCATAAGTGCGTAACTCCGACTGATAATGACTCGTGTCATTCTGAGTTGTTCTTGGCCCTGATCTTAGATACCATGTCAGTCATATGTTCAATGTCTACAGAACTATTTGTCAGATCAGATAATAGATCGGACTGCTTTCACCATAAGTTTCGACTTCACTCACCAGAGAAGTATCAGATAAATAGATAAGTGCAAAGGCATTAGTAAAATTATGAAGAGCCTCCGTATCATCAAACCTCCCGAACTAATTGGCATATATAAACGATTTAGGGAGGAACGAGGGTGGTGGGCTCATGCTCAGGGCGGTAGGGTTGTCATCAGGTTCAGGTTTCCAAGCCCTGCTACACCGGGACGACGTACTTAAGTGAGTGGTGCAGTCCAGGGAATCTGTAGTCTCAGATTACCTTACCCATTGGGTATACCTCCGCGTCGAAACCCAGACCCAGGCAGTCAGTATACGTGACATGTTTCGAAACTGTGGTATATTTGTATGCTGTAGTTAGTATCCAATATAAAACATCGCCCTGTATATGACAAACCTTCATGTGACCACCACCATCCTCAATACATCAGACATGTAGAATGTTTTATTAGGGGTGTGGTTTTGGGGAGATGGGGCACTATTATTGCTAGGGTAACTGAAGTAATACATCATCTGGCAGCTTGACGACACCACAACACGGACGTCTCTTGTTTATCAGAAACTTTAATATAACTATTGCGTGAATGTTTAATAATCCATGTGTGTTTATGACAGGCACGGGCATAACTCACCGAGCACAAAGCACATGGGTGTCGCATGCAAGGCACATCTCCAGCCATCACGTGACCTGGATGCATATCCCACGTGCCCTGCATCACGTGTACTAATGGTGATAGAGTGTATATCTAAATCGTTGTTTTAGACATTAGTTTGGTTTTTGTAGATCTCACCACAGAAGTCTCGAATTTATGATGCCATGGGCACTGAGTGTTTGTCTCAGTATCTTGATGTCATCCTCAACCAGTTGATCATCAATGATCATAACATTCTCCTCTTTGGGGACTTCAACGCACGCATAAGTGACTTCTCGGAATTTATACCAGACAAAAATCGATACTTATGTTCCTGTGTTGTGTACACAGCTGATAAGTTCAATCTAACAACGAAGAACAGAGACAACTCGTTTATAACTCAAGCGGTGGAAAATTGGCAAACCTATGTCTATTAGTAAATCTAAGACATGGCTTTATATCGTTCTGGAAAATCCTTACCCGAGGAAGAAAAACAAAACATTATCTAGAACTACAGCACGGGAACAGGTGTATACATTTTGGAAAGATGTTCAACATGTTCAGCCTATTCTACACTGCGTGATAAATATCGAGACGTGCTTGCAAACACTGTAACATTAGACAGTGACTCATTTAAACTAACATACCTTTTGAAAGGATGAAATTTATTCAGGATAAAAACCACTAAAACAGGAAAATCCACCTGAACTTGAAGTTCTTACAAAGTAACTGTACAGCTACTACTGGCAATACCCGTGACCTTGATAACTATAGGCAAATATACCTGTCGTTTTTGTCTGGGACTTTGTGCTGCTTTGAATTAAAAGTTACAAAATGGCTCTGAACAAAACTGCATTATACCTGTAACTCAGGTTGGCTTCAGACAGAATTACTCTACTATAGATCAGATTTTCTGTCTGCAAGCGATAATACACAAATATATGTAACAGCTATTGTGCCTATACTTATAATGGGTCTGACATTTGGGGTACAAGGCATTGTAAATTTATGTTCAAACATATCTTTATAAATGTTTCTGAAATTTAGCAATAACATAGTTATGACACTTGGTGAGTGTGGGGGATGCCCAGTGTCAAGAACTGGTGTAGACTTGGTGAGTGTGGGGGATGCCCAGTGTCAAGAACTGGTGTAGACTTGGTGAGTGTGGGGGATGCCCAGTGTCAAGAACTGGTGTAGACTTGGTGAGTGTGGGGGATGCCCAGTGTCAAGAACTGGGGCCGTATTTATAAAATTCTCAGAAATTTCTTAAGAATACTCTTAAGTCGCTAAGAAAATTCTCAGCTAAGAGTTACACTTAAAAGTGTAGTTATAATGACTCTGAGCGTAACTCTTAGCTAAGAGGAAAAGGAAACTCTGAGCGTAACTCTTAGAGCTGACATTGGTCGTAACCAGGGGATTCCCTGTGCTATATTTAGAATTTAAAGCACTCTTCCGGTTTGGAGGCGAAAATTTATACCACGTGACAGTCACATGATGTAAACAAGCAGACGTGAATCTGACATCTGTCAAAACTTCGCGCGATGGATTCATCACACATTGTTTCGATGAAACGCAAGCCTAATTGGACATCTGACCAGTCATTGCTGTTGGTCCAACTTGTTGATGAGCGGAAATCAATCATCAAGGGCAAGTTTGGACCGGGAGTAACATCCAGAATGAAGAAGGAGGCATGGGGGGAGGTGGCAGCCAATATCAACGCTGCATTTCCTAACGTTGTTAGGTCAAGCGATGACTGCGAGAAAAGATGGTACAACATCCAGTCCAAGTCAAGGCAAGAAATATCTGCTTTCAAGAGACAGCTCAGTGGCACTGGTAAGTAATTACATTTCTAAGTATTTTGATCACAGATATCTTGGAATATAATAATATTATTCAATTTCAATTTTTTTTATGCACAGTGCTCAAACCTCAATTATTTGATGCAGTACACAAATTCCTTGTACACAAAGTTAGAGTTGGATACAAATATATAGGAGATGTGAACTCACATGTATAAACCTATATGACAAAGAGCAATGTTGATAAAATATAGTTATGTTGATACATTGGCCAGTGTATGAACTGAAAAACATTGCTTGATACATATGTTGTATTTCTACTTGAGAGATGTGTTCTCATTTATACAAAATATCTACATGGGTATATTCCTAGAAGATTAATAAAAAAAGGTGTGAAATTAAAAGAATAAAACATATTACTTTTAATGCATTTCAGTGTATCTTTTATCATAACTATCTTGTAAACTCAAACATGAAAAATATTAAGCTACATAATTGAGTAATATGAACCATAAGACAGTAGACATGAGCCACTAGTATAGAACCAGTGTTAAGAAGAATGTTCACATTTCACATGTTTCCTACACCTGACCAAAAGACAGACCAATGCAAAATTAATAAGAGAAAAAAACAACTTATTTCTTTATCCCCATTTATTGGGTCTTGGTTATTAAATGCATCAAGAAGTATATAAGCATTCAAAAGTTTGAAATGATTGCAGGAGGAGGACCTGGTCCAAGCAAGTTGAGTGCTGTTTCTGAAGCAGTATATGATGTTCTTGGCCAATCCAATGTCAGTATAAGTGGAATTGAGGGGAGCTTCGATTCAACCCTTTTGCAAGTCATGGACATATCAAACAGGTAAACATTTTTTTTCCATTCCGGCAAATCAGGTTACAAGCATGGTTGCATTCAAAGACAATGGTTAATAACTATACAGATAGAGCATATAGACGCAAAGTTTATGCATAAATAATCAAACCAAGAAATAGTGTTTTTGAAAAACATGAAGTCAAGTGACATCTTTATAAATATATGACAGAGGAACCATTTTTTCAAACGCAGCCCATTTATTATTCCTGTGGGCAATGCATTTTTCTATAGAATATATTTGTTTGAAGATTTTTATCACTCTATCAACTGAAACAGTTGTCCCTTTAAGACTGCTTAGTATATATGCTTTTTGCATAACAAGAGTAAGTGGTTAATTAACTGAAATTTGGCTGGGAAAAGGTAAACAATCTTTCCTTTTGTTTGATAAGACATTAAGTTTTACATTCAAAAATTGATATTTCTTTTCAGAAGTCAGGAAGCTGCTGTCGTTGAAGCTGAGGCCCACTTGCCCCTGGATGTGCTATCTTCACCCCAGCCCAGCTGTGCAGCATTCACCACTCCAGTTCTACCCTGCACAAGCAATGGACACCTCAGTGACAGAGAACTTTCAAGGAAAAAAAATTGTTACAGATTGATGTGCTTCAGCTCCAGAAAGAACTGTTAATGCTTAAATTGGAAAAGATGAAGACAGATCAATCTAATATGTAAATGCAAGAACCATGTCTGTACATGCTTACCAATATCATAATTGTTTTAATTTCTATAGGGTAAACATGGTTGCAGTAGAGATATTGAAGGTGCTGTTTCAAAATCATTATTGTATTGATTTGCATGCATTTTCTAAATAAATGTTGCTACATACTCTGAAAGTGAACATTTGTGAAGTGCTGTCTGTATCGCTGTCCATCAACGGTGGAAATTTGTTGTGGAGGAAGGCAACCATCAACACTATCTCCACCATCATCACTGTCCCCATCCTCATCACCCTCATCATCAGTGTCTTCATCAGGAGGTATATGAAGATTCCTCTGCTTGCATATGTTGTGCAGTATGGCACAAGCAATGATTATCCTACATGCTTTCTTTGGGCATACCCTCACTTCACCATGCAAAACATGAAACCTTCGCTTCAGCTGACCAATCCCCCTTTCTACAACAGATCTTGTGCGCTTGTGTGCTCTGAAATAAAATCAAAACAAAAAAAATAATTTTCTATTGACAGTATCTGTCCCTTAAAAGAAACATGAAATTTGAACATATGTCATTATCAAAGAGCAGTTGGAACTTACATTGTGCAGTGTCTTGTCATAAAATATTTTCCCAAACAAATATACATGACATATGTAACAATGGATATAAACTAGAAAGTCTTTTTTTACCTTAGAGCTATAAGCATCTTGTATATTTAGTAAATTATCTATTCATTAAATGCAGGTGTCATTTTTCTACAATATAATCAATATCATGAATCATTGCATCTATTAACTGTTTCTTTTCACAAATATCATACATACAGAATGTATTTAGAATCATATTTCATCTGCCATTAAAATAACTATGTAAAAACTGAAATAAGATTGGTAGGGACTATTTGCATAAAGTCTTCTCAATTGAATTTTTTTTCTAAAATATATTTATTTCAGATGAATGGCTTCAAAATATCTTTTTTTGCTAATTTGATGTCGGTGAAGTGATGTATTTTAAAAAAAATGTTCTGATAACTGGATCGCAGAGATGTGTATTTACAAAAATATCATTTTGTTTTAATTTGATGGGAGTAAAGGTATGTATTTAAAATTATACATATTGATAACTGGATTGTAGTGAAGTCATGTATACTTTTGTGATGATGCAGGGTAAAGTAATAACAGCTTGTGTTACAATGTGATTAATATCCAAGGAATAATGATCCTTTTTCTGGGATTGCCCTGCATGATTTTAGTGAAAACCCACAAGGAAAGGGAAATTACTCTAACCAAAAAAAAGTTAAAGGGGATGTTGCAGACCATGCCACTTTTATGACAGGCTGAACATGTGTGCATATCCGTCAGAACTCTCTGTGGGTAGGTAAAATGTAGTTTTTATGAATGCAAGTTCGTAATAATGTTTTTTTGAGCACACGTATCTATCGTTTATAGGTCACGAGGTAAACAAAACAAGGAAACATATCATACCTGTTGTAATCCGTCTGGGGGGCCGGGTAGAGGTCTCAAATATGGCGTTAGTAACCAGCGTTTGCAGGGGTAGCCACTGTCTCCGAGTAGATGGCAACTTGTGGGCATGTAGTTCCTCTCAAACAGCACTTTTAAACCACTCTCGTTTAGTATGCGAGCGTCATGGGTAGAACCAGGCCACTTCGCGATCACATCCAAAATGTAATAATCGGCATCGAATACAACCTGTGTGTTGATGCTGTGATAATGTTTTCGGTTCACGTATTCTGCCTCATGATCTCGCGGTGCAATAATGCGAACATGTGTACCGTCAATGACACCAATGACGCCTGGGAAACCTGCTATGTTCATGAACGCTGCTTGTTTTCTTTGTATTTCACGTACATGAACTGGGAATTTTATGAACTGCTTCACGATAGATGGCGATGTTAAAGCATTCAATGTATCATTGATGACACAGCTGACCGTGGACTGTGACGGTCCCAAGTCATCTCCATTGCACATTTGCATTTTACCTGTGGCTAAATAGCGTAAGGTGATGGCAATTTTCAGTTCAGGTGCGATAGAGTAATTTCTGTCCGTGGGTGATTGCAAAGATTCTCTCACCAAATCTGTCAAAAATATGATTCCCGCTCGATCAAAACGGAATCTTTGACTAATTCATTGTCATTGTAAAAGTTAAAACGTCCTTACGTTCTTGAAAATGTCTGAGGTGACGGCTGCGTTGTCTAGCGGCCGCCATTTTGTTGAGTTAAGAAAATTCTTAGGTCGACTTAGGAGTCCTCTGTGAGGACTCCTAACATTTCCTCACTCTAAGAGTACTCTTAAGAGTAAAGAGGCTTTATAAATAGGTCTTGAGAAAATTCTTAAAATTAAGAGTAACTCTCACAAAATTCTCAGTATTTTCTACACTTAGGAGTAACTTTTAATTCTTAGAATTTTTATAAATACCGCCCTGGTGTAGACTTGGTGAGTGTGGGGATGCCCAGTGTCAAGAACTGGTGTAGACTTGGTGAGTGTGGGGATGCCTAGTGTCAAGAACTGGTGTAGACTTGGTGAGTGTTGGGGATGCCCAGTGTCAAGAACTGGTGTAGACTTGGTGAGTGTTGGGGATGCCCAGTGTCAAGAACTGGTGTAGACTTGGTGAGTGTGGGGGATGCCCAGTGTCAAGAACTGATGTAGACTTGGTGAGTGTGGGGATGCCCAGTGTCAAGAACTGGTGTGTAGACTTGGTGAGTGTGGGGGGGGATGCCCAGTGTCAAGAACTGGTGTAGACTTGGTGAGTGTCGGGGATGCCCAGTGTCAAGAACTGGTGTAGAATGCTTCAGTTAGATACATGTTGGCTCATCAGTGATTTCAGACGCAATTTGATTTCCTCACAGCCGAATTGAATTTGTCACTGCTGATGTTCACGCCTATAGACGTCGATGGGACTGTTGTTTGTTTACGTCCACCATGTGACCAGTACCGTGACGCTATCTCCTACTGTTTTGCCCCGTCCGTTAAGGATGTCAACTTGTTCACATAACACAAACATAGTTTCTTAAACATCTGTTTCCAGCGGTGGATAAACAACCAGAGACATTGTTCGTTACAGGGTACTCCTTGCCATGAAGAGTATTCCCAATTGGTTTGCAGTCCACCTATCTCATTTGGAAACGGACTGTAGATTGCACGTTCAGAATTGATTTTGAATCCCTGGACCCAGAACAACTGCATCAATAATAGTTTGACGTCAGAATAAAAGTTTAATTCAAGTAAGATTTGTAACAGTTTTGGTAACCAAGCGTTGTGCAGAACGCCATAGCCGCGTTTATCACTTCATAATGCTTAACACTTCAACTGATCCGACATGTATAATTCCATGCGTGATGTAAGCAATGATTCATTGATGTCATTGGTGTTTCATACCTGTAAACAACCCGTAGATCATATCAAAGTTTTGTAGTCTACCAACTGATGGTACATCTGTGTAACGTGCCTGTAGACATTGCTGTAAGCTACATTTACATAATACAAAAACTTCGTAAACTACTTTATGACGACCACCCGATCTGCGCGATCTGTCTGTAATGACATTATAGTTTCTCTACAGTCACAACCTTTCTGTAATGACATTATACATTCTCTACTGTCACAACCTGTATGTCATGACGTTACACAGTCTCTACAGTCACCTGTCTGTCATGACATTACACAGCCACAAACTGTCTGTCATGACATTACACTATCTCTATAGTCACAACCTGTCTGTAATGGCATTACACAGTCTCTGCAGTGACAACCTTTCTGTAATGACATTACACAATCTCTACAGTCACATTTTGTATGTAATGACATTATACAATCTCTACAGTCACAATCTGTCTGTAATGACATTACACAGTCTCTACAGTCACAATTTGTATGTAATGACATTACACAATCTCTACAGTCAAAATCTGTCTGATGACATTACATATTCTCTACACATACGGACTGTCTGTAATGGCATTGCACAGTCTCTGCAGTCACAATTTGTCTGTAATGACATTACACAGTCTCTGCAGTCACAATCTGTCTGTAATGACATTACATATTCTCTACAGTCACAACCTGTCTCCAGAATGCTGTGATAATGTTTTCGGTTCACGTATTCTGCCTCATGATCTCGCGGTGCAATAATGCGAACATGTGTACCGTCAATGACACCAATGACGCCTGGGAAACCTGCTATGTTCATGAACGCTGCTTGTTTTCTTTGTATTTCACGTACATGAACTGGGAATTTTATGAACTGCTTCACGATAGATGGCGATGTTAAAGCATTCAATGTATCATTGATGACACAGCTGACCGTGGACTGTGACGGTCCCAAGTCATCTCCATTGCACATTTGCATTTTACCTGTGGCTAAATAGCGTAAGGTGATGGCAATTTTCAGTTCAGGTGCGATAGAGTAATTTCTGTCCGTGGGTGATTGCAAAGATTCTCTCACCAAATCTGTCAAAAATATGATTCCCGCTCGATCAAAACGGAATCTTTGACTAATTCATTGTCATTGTAAAAGTTAAAACGTCCTTACGTTCTTGAAAATGTCTGAGGTGACGGCTGCGTTGTCTCAGCGGCCGCCATTTTGTTGAGTTAAGAAAATTCTTAGGTCGACTTAGGAGTCCTCTGTGAGGACTCCTAACATTTCCTCACTCTAAGAGTACTCTTAAGAGTAAAGAGGCTTTATAAATAGGTCTTGAGAAAATTCTTAAAATTAAGAGTAACTCTCACAAAATTCTCTACAGCATTTTCTACACTTAGGAGTAACTTTTAATTCTTAGAATTTTTATAAATACCGCCCCTGGTGTAGACTTGGTGAGTGTGGGGATGCCCAGTGTCAAGAACTGGTGTAGACTTGGTGAGTGTGGGGATGCCTAGTGTCAAGAACTGGTGTAGACTTGGTGAGTGTGTGGGGGATGCCCAGTGTCAAGAACTGGTGTAGACTTGGTGAGTGTTGGGGATGCCCAGTGTCAAGAACTGGTGTAGACTTGGTGAGTGTGGGGGATGCCCAGTGTCAAGAACTGATGTAGACTTGGTGAGTGTGGGGGATGCCCAGTGTCAAGAACTGGTGTAGACTTGGTGAGTGTGGGGGATGCCCAGTGTCAAGAACTGGTGTAGACTTGGTGAGTGTTGGGGATGCCCAGTGTCAAGAACTGGTGTAGAATGCTTC